CATTTTGGGCATGTTATTTTCAAGCATATTTCTCGAAAACAGGCCTAGTGTCCAGGAGGTTAATAAACCTTTTTGAACTTTCCTACTGACTGTCTCCTTGAATACTGGTTCCATCTGTCCTCGGTTCCTGACATAGATTGCATCTCCAAAATCCACTACTGCTGCTAGTTTCGTTGCAAGCATAGAAAACCGTTCATAGATCCAACAGGTAGCGCTCTGATGAAAATATCACTAAGGAACGATGGTGACAGAGGATGTGGGATTTCAGGGTTGGAGAGCTCTGCTCTGATGGATGTCAGTTCCTGCTTGGTTCCTCATGACTCAATCAGCTCCTCCCAGCAGAAACACGTCCACCATAGAAAGATTCCTTTATCCTTTTTCTATCATTTCATCAATGCAATAAAATCGAAACCTCGCGATGAAGGACGGTGAAGCAGCGTGCGGTGAGAACGTTCACTGCTCCTCCCTCACCTCGTGCTACTATGTGACATTTGCTCCAGAATAAACATTTAATCATGAACGATTATTATATATTTAAGCCCACATAGTCCTTTTTTATAGTTGGCTAATACGCCTGAAGCCCAGAGGCTTATAGAGGACTTATACATTTTGCAGCTCCAGACAGATCTGTTTTTGTTTTTTTGGTCCAATATGGCTCTTTGAGCAGTATGAGTTGCAGAACCCTGCCATAGAGCAAAACACTGTATCGGTGCGTGTTTTAAGAAAGTCATGTGACCGATACAGGAGTTGTTTCTAACTGACTGACTCACTAAACTAGGTTTAAAAACGTAGCTGTCAACATGATGCGTCTACTAAAAAAATGTCTCTTCTTTTGCGGTTTATGATTAAAATTATCCAGATTTGGAGCAGCCTAAGAGGAATAGGAACATTTCAGCAGTTGCGTTTTTATTTTAATTTTCTGACTGTGTCATCTTTTCCCTCTTATCACTCAACTTATCTGAATTAAAGTTAATTTCAAACTGGCTCTTAGTTTATTTACTGTTTTTGCTGTACTTAATGTTTTAAAATTATGATATAAAATCTCAGTCCACAAGCATCCTCATTCAAATTTTCCCCTTATGATATATTTCTACATTATTTATTGGGTGCATCTAAAAATATCAAAGATATTTTTGATTTAAATATATATATAAAATAATACAATATAACCTACAATAGCTTAAATTCTATCACTGTATTAGGTCATCAAATCAATTCAGTATAGTCTGTCCGATTAGCTACCTGTAGTGTCTTTAAATGTCCAGCAGGTGTCAGTATTCTGTGAGACAGTATCAATACAGTTTGGCAATGAGTCGAAACGCTTCAAGATGCCTCATTAAGCATCACTGTTTGGTTCATATTGACATGAGAGCATCAAAAGGCTGCTGCAGGTCTGTGTGCTGCATGACTGGTGATGCTCTGAGTGGATTGAGAAATAATAAACATAGAAAACCCTTTAAAGAGCAGTAAGCTCATCATTAAATTCAAGAAATCACACCAAGATTATTTTAACTTTGAGATTTGCATTATTTAACAATAACAGATTTATTTCTCTACACAGTTATTTCTGACAGAGGAGTATTTTTCAGTGGAGGTTGGGTATACTAGTAACAAC